AAAAAAAAAAAAAAAAAAAAAAAAAAAAAAAAGAGCAAAGGATTTTGCAACAGACATTTTCTTCAAAGAAGATATACAAGTGGACAATAAACAAGACAAAATGTTCAATATTACCAATCACTAGAGGAATGAAAAGCACAGCTACATTGAAATACCCCTTAGCGCCCACTAAGGTGGCTATTATAAACAGAGGAGGGAGAGAAGGGGGGAGGGAAACAGAAGTGGAGGGATTGGAGCACGTGTATACTGCTGGGAGGAACGTAGAATGGTACTGCTGCTGTGGAAAATAGGGTCGTTCCTCATACAAGTAAATAGGTCTTACAGTATGACACAGCAATTCCACTTCTGGATATGTACCCATAAGAATCGAGAGCAGACACTCCATAGAGTATCTATACATTCATAGTCATGGAAGCACTATTTACAGCAGTCAACGGGTAGAAACAACTCACTGGGCATGCATAACTGTAATCCCAACTACTGAGTAGGCCGAAGCAGGAGGATCACAAGTTCAAAGCTAGCCTGGGCAATTTAGGAAGACTCTGTCTCAAAATAACAAGAAGGTCTGGGACTGTAACTCTGTCTAGAAGGGTTGGACAGCATCCAGGAGGGCATGGCTTCAATCCCGTGCACGTGCATGTGCATGTGAAAATAAACAACTTTAATGTCCTCTGATAGATCAATGATAGACAAAATGTGGTGTTACTCAGCCTTACAAAGGAATTAAATTCTGAGACACTACAATACAACATGAATGAACCTTGAAGACATTATGCTATATGGAATAAACCAGGACAAAAGGACCTCAATTATACGAGGTCCCTAGAATGGAAGATTCATAGGGAAAGTTTTTTGCATACATTTTTTATAACCCGCACCCCAACCCCAATGGAGTCTTTCCATGCTGTCCAGCTGGAACTCTCCAACTCGTGATTCTCCTGTCCTTAGCAGCTGAGACTACAGGTGGGTACCAGCAGGCCCTAGTCCTTCTACCTTTTAAAGGTAGGTATTAATAGTTCTGACTTGACAGAAGAGGAGATACCCTTAGGAGATGCTTTTAAAAACACATTAGGAATCTAATGATCCCATGCCTAAGGCACGAAATTCATTTTACTAGCCTTTTCCTTGTTTAGAGAAGATACATCATATTTTCAGGGGAAAAATTACTTGGCAGATTTGTTTCTGCTAAAATTGGAAAATCACCGAGTTGGCATGGAGACAGAATTGCAGAATTTGAAAAAGCAATTTTGATTTGTATGAAGGCAGTTAATACATATAAAGCTGAATCAAAGTACTCTGGGAAGCTGACTCAGGAGGATCATAAATTCAAAGCCAGTGTGGACAATTTAGCAAAACCTTGTCTCAAAATTAAGAATGAAAATGAGGCTGTTGCTCAGTGTGAAAGCATTGGGTTCAATCCCTAGTATTGTAAACAAAGAAAAACCAAAACAAAGTGCTAAAAACGTGTGGCAGGAATTAAGTCTCAATAAATAATAGTTCCTACAAAAAGCCAAAATCAAAACCAAAAACCAGAAGTTCCTTTGCTGTCACTGTCTTTTACATGTGTATCTTGAGAGTTTCCTGCCCTAGTTCTTGGAACACAAAATGGCTCATGTCTGAGGTACACAGGCAAAATCCCCAAATAAAATCTCGTCCTTGGAGAAGCTGCTATAACGGGTTTCTAGCAGCAAGCTAGGCTTGTGCAGATCAAGTCAGAGAAGTTATTTAAAAGCAGCTAGTAACTACTGGTGTTAAGTCGTGGGTGAGAAGAATAGAACTGGACTAAGATGAAATATCGGTTCCCAGCTTTAACGCCTAGCTACACGGGACCTCAGACAAATCAATTACCAGTTACTTCATTTATCAGGCAATTTCACAAGACTATGAGAATGAAACATCTTTCACCTAGAGATTGGGTGGCACAAAATAAGCATATACGGATAAGAATATACGGATGGCACAAAATAAGCATCGTACTCTCATTTGGTTGACAGGAACCATCCTAAATTATTTGGAAAGTGCATCACACACATTTGCAAGGTAGGTGTAAGGAATAACTCTTAGAGGACAAACGACACTTTTACAGTGCTTGAGTAAAGAAAAACCTCATGGCACACGCTTAAAGATCAATTTAATTAAAAAACAGGTAACAGATTCATACAAAGGCATTAAAATTTAAGAGATGTACACGGAGGAAAATTTCGCTCCCAATTCATCCCCTACTCACAGCCCTACACGGTTTTATTTCCCTGGTAATTTTTACAAAAACGAACGCATCGACCCCCTACTGCCACACGAACACTGCATTCTTTCTACATTCTTCCGCACCCAGCTCTTTACGCACGATTTGCGGCTACGAAGCAAG